GCCTCGCCAACTTTTCTGGTAAACCGGAACCGGCGTGATCACATGACGGTATCAGGAATCCCCCCCTTTGTGTTAGCCTTGTTTCAACATATTGTCGGGACTGATTAGAAGGTGTCGTGGTCAGAGACCACCACTGAAAGAAGCGGCTATCCACACCGACACCTAACCTGGAGCACCTTTGTGTCTGTGTCATTGGTGGGCGAGCGGGAAGAGGACGTTAGGACCCTTTTTGTCACCCGACCAACCCCTCGGTTCTGATGGTCGATGTTGAAAAGCCGGCGCTAGCTTCAAAGGCGAGGACTCCGGTCCTGGTCAGTGTTGGTATGTCCTCCCTATGGAAGTTAACAGTGTTCTGGTAATGGTCATTCATGTACTGAGGGCATCCCCAGATAGTTACAAAAATATACATAAATTTGTAGGTGTAACTTGCACGTCTGAAAAATTTGCGGGTAAACATTATATCTTTTTAGCCATTTCTTGTCAGCTTTTTTTTTACAGCCTGTTGTTTTCTATTACCAAAATTTGAGAAAAAGTCTTCAATTTCTATTTGGTCCGAAAAAATTCTGTAAGATATTCTGTGCATTGTTCGAGGATTTTTATTGTATGTTTTGATTGTAGCTAGATCGTATGAACTTTATTGCACGAGGCTTGTATATGTAGCAGGTGCAATATATGGCAACTTGTTGAATCAGTTAACAATGCAGGTAATGTTGGCCATTTATATATATATTTTATTGTTTCCTTCATGAAATCATAGGTTGATCATTTTCATTCTCTCGAGATGTTTCCTTTTCACAGAACTGTCTATGATAACAAAGTTTTTACAGCCATGAACAAATGTTAAATTTGTTTGAAAGGAGTAAAAAGTAATAATATACTATCTTCAGTACAGTTTGAGGTTCCTGCTATACCCGTTATAAACTAAAGTACATGTACCATGGCACTGAGACAGAAATATTTTCAAGATTTACCTGTGTGTTTCTTCAGCACCATGCATGCGCAAGAAAAGTGAAGCACAAAATGTTCTTGGCTTGATGGTTCCCAGGCTCAGAAATGGGGTCAGTTTGAAAATAATCCCTCCAAGTATTTCTGCTCCACAGAGATCCTACCTCTTTGGTTTCTTGTACCCACACCAAATCCCTCCAGACCAGAAGAACTAGGGCATGATCCAACATACATCTAACCTAATTTGGCCCTTTCCAAAGCTGCTCTTTTGACCGGAAACTACAATATTTGTCACACCAAGAGAGTGCAGAAACGGTTCAAGGTGAAGTTAGTTTCACAATTGTAAACTTTGATTCATAGAAGCAGGTTTGTAGCTGTATGAAGATGTCAGGTATTGACATAAGTGAGAGGAGCATGTTTGCTCTGTGGTCCTAAAGTTTACCTTATGTGGGCATCAGGGGAGGATCAGTAACGCCTGGTGAGGGGTATGTTCTCCCAGGGGGATGTATCACCACATGTCACACCTCCCTGTGGAGGAAGTGAATTATGGTCCTTTAAAAGGCTGTCACTAAAAAGATTGAGTCAATATGTAACATGTGACGTCTGTTCAGGCCAAAATTATGTAAGTTTCTAGTGGTATCAAATCTTTTGAACCCTCAACAAGTCAGATTAAAGACTGTCACATTTTTCCTGGTCTCCCAAGGTATCACTTGGACTGCCCCTGAAACCTTGACCTGTTGTTTTTAAAAGGTCAGAAGATCATGGCTGTGTTGTCATCCTGAAGTGTAGAATTCCCTCTGATCTGTCATTGCACCAGATTCTCACGGAATCTTCTGACTTGGTCGCAAATCAGAAATGGGTAGAAAATCTGTTTAGAAAAGTTTTTGAACATGCCTCCCAGAAAAGTGATGCTCATTTCTCTTGATTACTTCTAGAGATGCAGCAAATGTATGCAGGTGGTTCATGTAGTTGGTGTTATCATATTTACATTTTCTTGGCATATGAAACACCTGGTACACTTGATGTTTCTTAAAAACTTGTCTTGACAGATATGAATCCATTTTGCATGAAGTCGCCAATGTCTAAGGTGTGACAATGTTGTTTCCTTGTTTTTTTTCAAAAGTAGGATAAGTCTTTGGGAAATTTCCCCTACTTTGCAGTGACAGTCTGGACCTGTCAGTTGCCCCGCCCCCAAAACTGGGGTGTCCTGACGTTGATAAAATGCTGCTCCCCCCTTGCAACCTGTGTACATTCCCTGCATGTTTGTGTGGGTCTCTGGGGTTTGTCCCTGTGTAGATCTCTGTGAGCAGCTCTGTAACAACCATCCATAGCGCCTGACTGCAAGGCAGCGATGGTCCATGTGAGGAATTAGGACATTTTTCCGCCGGGACCAGACTTTTCGGGACTGGTGACATGGGTCTTCCAAGGGATGCTGAACAAAAAGGTTTGTTCGGAATGTGGAGTGTAGAGTTTAGAAGAGTGTGTTGTGGAATTGCCTGGAAAACGGGTACGGAATTGTGTGGGAAGGAAAGGTCAGATGGGAGGAATTCCGGCTGTTGCTTGGGCTCAACTGGCGGGAAGCCATGGGGAGTGGAGCATATGCTACAGGCAGATGCCAGTGTTCAACTCTGGATCTTTCAATTTTTTTGTGAAAACGAAAACCTGTCTAAATTTCTTGCATTCATCCAACGTTTTCAGTTCTACCTTTCAGATATATAGGAATGGGAGGTCATGCTTACGTTTAGATCTGTTATCTACCAGTACTGCCACTCAAATCTTTCTGTCCTAGTTTTGATGGAGCTAGCACCAGTTGCTACATGTACATCATATATCGGTATACAAACATGCTCTGATCGTTTTTCCATGGTTTGCATTCCAACTATTTGCTGAAGTTCAGAAAAGGCTGTATTGTTGTTGTTGTCTAGCTTTGACCGAGATTCAGAATAGGTTTTGTTGTTTTGTTTGACGTTAGGCTCTTTGCACGGCATGGCAAACTGAAATATCTGTATGCGTTCGCCGGGTACAATGTACGGCCATTCAGAACAAGCATGTTCTAACGTTAGTTGTTTGGGTTCTACTTTGTGCTGCCATTGTGAGTCTACTACTTCCTCCTCAATGCCAACATTCTTGTACCATAGAGCAGAAATGCGGCAGTTTTTCCCCATTGTCTGCCTTCCAACTTGAACACAGTCACGACAAATTGCGAGTGCTCAAGTACTGAGTGACTAATAGTCTGAACATGCCTATGACTGAACCATGAATAGAACATAACTTGAATATAATATGTCACTGTCACAGGCTTTCGGACTTAAACCTTTGAGAGTACACAAAGTTCTTATAAATCTCCAAACACCCAGTTGACGTGTACACGCAACATTTGGTTGAACAACATGACAAATGGTGAGTATGTTGTACTGTGAGTGTACAGTCCACTATTAGTCTTTGAATTATAAAATCTTATTTTCAACTACCAAAATACCTTTGTATTTTAGAATTCCAACTTAAATTTTGGTAGTCTCACTTTTCTTAAAATGAGCGTTAGATGACAAACTGAATTTTTACTTTTAGGATTTGCCAAGTATCAATCTAACGTAGAACTCCCCTGGCATGTTTTAACAGTTCAAAAATTTGGAATATTGATGTAGCTAGTAATTTCAGTTTTAGTATTGGTTAAGATGTGTTACCAGACCTATTATAGCTCCAAAGCCCTATATCCTCTCCGCAATTTGCGCAATGGGACTGGGGATCTATAATAGGTCTGGTAACTAGGCCAATAGAAGTGTACATGTATCACCGTCACTAGAAGTAGTGTACCATCATGGCCAAAAATGTACAATGCAAAAAATGAAAAGTCATGATACAATTTTCAAAGAAAACTGCCATGGAGCACTAAGTCTCAGATTTTGAGGTATGCTTTATTTCATCGTTACAATTTACATGTGTGGGAGTCACTGTGATAAGAACTGGCAGGTCTCCAGTACGCTGAGTCACCTACCTAACTAGATTTGACGGTGTTGAGTGAATACGATTCCTCACAGCTTTTATATATACGGTATATCTTCCAGCTTTAGCACTGCTACAATATAATGGGTATCTACTGAGGGGGTGGACAAAAAAGGATGAAAGGAGGCTGAATGAAAGTGTTCGTTGTTCAAATGATATTTTTCCAGCATAGCCCATCTTGGTTCTCCCCTAAATGGACATTCATGTCAGTTCTGAAGTACAGCACAGTTTTGGCATGCAGCCATATGCTGTTCTAATCCCTCCTCAATGCACTTGAAGATCTAAAAGCACAGGAAATGAGTCAAACAGAGAAGAAGTTCATCATTCTTCAAAGTGTCCGGGACACACATTTTCTTCATCAGTGAAAGTGGAAAAGTTGGGATGAAAAGTCATGCTGGCTGACTGAAGGCCAAAGCTCCTTAAATGGCCCAGTCTTGTCTCGGCGCTCTAAGGAATTTGTCTTGGGTCAAGTGTCCTGGGGAGACGCAGGCCATGTGGAAGACATCAGCAAGAAGCTGTGTTGAAAGTATTACGATCAATGTCAAGTTAATACTGTAACAAGTTGGTGACTAATGGGACTTAATATGGCAAAGTTGGTGAAGGCTTGGTGGGGGTGGGGGGTTGGAAGGGATGGAGGAAAAGGGGGAAGGGAGGAAAGAAGTTTTATTGCCAATTTTTGGTCATTGATCATAGAGTTGAGACAAGGTATTTTATTACTAGGATTATCCAATGTTATGGTTGCTGTCAGTTGATTTTAAGATGATGAGTCATTTGTTTTTCCAGAGCTTAAAAACTGCAAGAAGCTGGCTATAGCCATAACTCCAGAGCACTACCATCATTTGGTATGGAAGGATTTCTCCTAAAAAAACTAGTAGTACAAGCTTGTTCTTACTTTTTTTCTCACATTACAGATTCAGCTACTGGCCTGAAGAAGTTCCATGTCATCTCATCATAATCCTAACATAATAATGATAAAAAATGAGTTTGTTTATGAGTAAAAAAAACATGACAACTCATGTTTTGTTTGTTTGTTTGTTTGTTTGTGTTTGCAGAAAAGTGTGACACACGGAGAGTTGCGGCGCACGAGAGACTCGGGGAGGTCCTGTGCATCTTGAAGAGCGTTCTGGGAAAATATCCGCCTCTGCACTCCACCGAGATCCTCACCGCGGCAGGGACCCTCATCAGCAAGATTAAAGGTACATGTAGAAAAGGTCTTACATATCAAAACTAGACAGTACTTCGGGTTTTGATACACACAACCAGTACTTCTCTAACCTTGCTTATGTTTCGATGTCTATCAGACATCTTCCTCCGAACTTCTGACTGCTTTTTACTGCTATGTAAGTTTGTATCCCCCCTTGTCCGGGTTCAGCAATGATAATAGGCATTAAACAGTAAGCAAGGGGAGAGAAGTACACAGTATAAGTATAAGAAAATCCAAAGATCCTCATATGTTTTACCAACCTGATGCAATTGTTTTTGGTAAACAGCCCTTCATGCACCACATGTACATACACCTAATCTGCACCGGTCTATGTATTGAGTTTATACATACAATGTGGATTTTTATTTGCTGCACTGACTACTACTGCCTATGAAGTATAAAAGAAGTAATTCGTACTTCCTAAATTCTGAGTGGTGCAGGTAGTAAAACTTCTGGTGCAATGTTACCTGCATCAGTGCAGGCTGGTATTCGTCCTGGTATCCAACGATTTGCAGCAATTGTCAGAGAGGGAAACCTGAAGGAATTTTAATTTTAGCTGTTACGTGTGACTCAGCATGTGGAACCTGGAGTATGGCAGGTGTGAAGAAGAACAGGTGAAACTTGTTGACAACAGGTGTGCCCACTTCTGCATCGAGGGGGGGATCAAGCCTTCTATTAATATGATAAACAACACGAATCAGAACACTTGTCCCACTCATTGGTTCGACTTCTCCACATAACTGTTTGGGGTTTGCCTATGTTCGAAGTTGTATTTTTCCTTCAACCAAGGTGCACCAGCTTCTATTTAGACATTCTTCCAAACCATCAGAACTAACAGTTTTATGTTATGATATAAACCTGTAGAATGTAGGACCTGCCTGTAGACAAAATGATATTGCGATTGCAATGACATTTGGTAACCGTAAATTATTATACTAAACCGTCATACCTAGAGGACATTGTTGTGCTATTGTAGTGACCGTATGTGTTCTGGGTTCAAGCGTTTGTTGTACTGCATTACACTCGTTTCTAGCATATAACACTTTTAATTTGTCTTGCTGTACTTAGTGTAGGCATCACCAACTCTGTGACCTGTCTGTACCCCCAGCATTCCTACACATGGAGGGGGCCATGTTGTACATATGTTTCCGCTAAACCACTTCTAGTTCTATCCCTAGAACTTCTAAGTTTTTTAACAGGTGTCCCCTTGAACCCTTGCTTTCACAAGGTTTGGTGTAGCCATGTCAGAAAACAGGAGAGTGTTTTAATGATCAAGAAAGTCTCATGCAAAGTTAACGTTATGACACTTTCTTCACAAAGGGGGAGGGGCACTTTGGAAAATGAGAGTTTTTGTGCAAAATACGAAAATTCTATTTACATGTGCAACCAACAGTCATGGCTTTAACCTGTAACAACCCTAGAAATAGGTTTGGAAAACCTGTACCCTCTAAAGTTTGTACCAAGGAGCTATTCAAGAAACAGGAGAAATAGTTTATATAACAGCACTTTCCTCTATTGGGACAGTAAATACATTATGCTCAGAAGCTGCCCTCTTGTTGACTGTAATTAAAGCGATATCCATTGTTAGAGTTGTATATTACACTAATCATGTGGGTCTTGCTTTCATCTTCCCCCTGGCTGCTTACTGTCATTACAGGAAGGACCACCAGGTAATTGCGGCTGTTTGCTCCTCCCACTTCACACCTCATTAGCATAATTGTAGCACCTGCTGGCCTTTGCACCTGCTATTAGACCTATAGTAATGCAGGCTAGTCATGCAGGTGTGTGGTTTTCACTTGTGTTAAATGTCAGATGTTAGTGGTTTGGACAGGACTGTTACCATGGTTATGGAACCATCCATTCAAACATGACGTCTCTAAATTTAGCCATTGCTTTCCACATGGTAGGTCTGTTCCATTCAAAATGATCAGGGAAAATAATTTTTTTAATCCATCTATTATTTCCATTTATATCCTCATGAATGTTTGAAATGTTGACAGTTATGTGTTACTTATGCACTTTTTTCTAAACCACCCCTGTCGTCACATTTGAAAAGAAGTTCTTAAATCCAAATGAAAATATAATGAAATAATCCTAAGTGAAGAAGTAACTTCGTGTTATGAAAACAGAAGACATTTTTGTAGCTCTTGGCTTTCATAGCACAACAAATTTGCCTCTTTCTCTCGTTGTAGATTAACCTTCTCCCTGCTAAAGTCTGGTACCAAACTTCTATTAGTCTTGGGGTTAGACAGCAGTGAGAAGGAGATCAACATATTTTTCTTCTCAAATTTCCTTGAACCATATTATTAGAACGAGCCCTGTGTCCTGAAATTGTGCAAGCCAAAATACAGAACAGGTGTCTCACTAAATAACACTAAGGTCATTCCCTCCCACAAGACTATGTAGAAGTGTCTGCCAACAAAGGGTCGTCATTCTGAGTTGGACCAGAGACTTGCTAATCCCTTTTCTATATGGAATTTGGAAATCTAAGCTTTTGTTTTGAATTCTTCTTCTTGAACTACATGTCAACAAGGGACATGCGTTAGTCAGCGACTAATTCCGGGGACTTAGTCATCAGTTGTCAGTCGCTTCACCCTCCCACACATACAATCAAGGTCAAGGACAACTTCTGTCACACTTCAAGTTCACATCTTCATTGTCCTCTTCTTCTGTTGTCATTTCATATAAGTAGCAATTTCAAGGGAAAAATCTGAAGCAAGTCGAATGCTTTTATGAACTGCTATTGCTAAGATACTACTTTTACTTGTTTGAGAAACTTGAGTGTTTTGTGACCAGGGCTCTGAGCCTCTATCTAACTGGAAACCTAACAAAAGTTTTGTGACTTGATGAAAATGTTACAATTTAAGTTTTAATTTCTGTCTGTTAGGGGCTCAGAAGGGTTGAAATGTCTACGTATCCATCCTGAACAGCAAATCCTGTCCAGGGACACTGACACAGATATAGACATACATGAAAACAGGCAGATACTAAGAAAATTAAAAAGACTGTCGTAAAGATTGAATTGTTATACTGAATGAGGACAAAAACGTTTATACTCTCTGTGATGAGCAATGTTTGGAATACAGTATTTGCATTTGGCTTGGCAGTCACCACAGTGACATAAAGTGGAATCAAGCCTAAAACTAGTCAAAGCATGTCTACATGAAATGTCTTTACCATATAAAATTGCTTAACTTCATTCTGCGCGCTTCATTCAACTTGAAGTCTGAAAACTCTCCTCATTCATTATGTCATCGCAAGTAGATCCGATTACCAGGAAAACACCCCATATAAGGAAGTAAAATCTGCTTCATACCATTTGTCATAACCTTCAAGTGTTTGGTCAGGTACTTGAACAACCTCTCAACACCGGCCATGGCCGGCCCTTGGAGAAATTACAGATGCTTTCTCTGGCTCTGTTAGTGACTAGCAAGGTCGCTTGTCTGTAGCCAAGGCTGAAGTGTGCTGATTTGATAAGAGTTAATTAGGTAATGGTGTATGTGGAAAGAGGTAGAGTTATAATCTAAATGGGCAATTTTCCGCTAATTTGGTAAAGTCAAGGTTACGTTGCATCCTGAGGGATAGCTAACAGTCAGAGAAGTGTGCTGGCATTTCCTGTGTTGAACTAAATGTTTTATGTCTTCCTAGACGTACTACTTACCGTTCAGACTTTTTCTACAAATAATAAATGCATCTTCACACCTTCAATTCAACTTTTAGTGACAATGTACCAATACAAAAAAAGTATGCTGCTTTGAGGCACAGAGTACCCACATTACACCAATGACTAGATGTTCTACTACTTCTAGCCAGCGTCCATCTTTCCATCATTACAGAATTTTGCTGCTCACAGAGAAATTTTGCCCAATCCGTTATCTTTGACGGACAAAAATCGGCGTATAAAAATATGGAAAGAGACGTCATTTAACCAAGCTTAGTCTAACAGCAAAATATTCCAGTCAAAATGCAAGAAATAGCATTTCAGAGGGTTAAGATTTCAAACTTTCCTATGATTGTCACATTTGGTGCTTGACAATGTCAATGATGTTGTGTAAACAAAATTGAGATGACCGGGAAAAAAATTCTGGCTGGCTAGAAGTAGGATAGTGCATTACAGCAGTGTCAGATCTCTCTTCAGTGTTCTCCCCAAGGGACAATGATATAATAACCTATATCTTCATAGAGTCACATAATGATTAATATCTCAACTTCTGATAAACTTCAAAGGGGAAGACAACATCAGTCAGGATTGCAGATTGTCCTTGCTATGTTGATAGACAAACTTCAGAAGCTTCTTTGCAAACTTACCATTTCAAATTAATGTATATGTGCTAAAATATGTCACCTTTACCTTAGTCAAGGTCAAAGATTATCGGATATCTTTGTTGTTCTGTGAACCAAAATTTCATCAGAAAGGGCAGGGTTACTGCAGTGTATGCATGTCTCTAGGATGTTTAGAATTAGCATATGGCCTGGTTCATGTCATCAATTCTTTTCCCATTCCAGGGATGTTTTCAGTTCTTCCCAAATGTCAGTGGGTGATGTGGATCAAGGCTGCTGAGATTTAGGAAGTTAAAATAAAAACAAATCTGAGAAAAAGCATCTTTGTAGGCACTAGGCATCTTTCTCAAAATTTGTTTGGGTATAAATTGTCACAGAATGAAACATTTTAAGGCTAATGTGTGCTTGTCTGTGACAGTGTGTTGAGAATAAGACAGTAATACAGTGTTAGAAATACCCATCTGCAGTCTGCATTTTGCAGAAACATTTTCAATATTGCAGAAGAAAAATTATGGAACCTGCAATTTTGCAAATCAGGCTAGAAGCTTAATGGTGTCTAAGAGCTTTTGTGTTTACTACTGACTCTATAATATACATTGCATGTATTTTTTTAAATAGCATATAAATGTTTGCCAACATGCAATTTTGTATATACCATAGGTTTAGATCCGGACTTGACAATGAAAGTGTATTTGCAAAAAGTATTTCCAAATTACAGAACAAAATTTTGACATTCTGCAATATTGCAGAACACTGCAAAAAAGTATTTCTGCCACTGTAATAACAAGACTTTTTCCTTGTTTGTTTCTCCAGGCTATAACTATGAGGAGGAGCGAGAAGTGCCTTCTGACTTCTACGACGCCATCGATCAGCTGGCCTTGGCCTTCAGCAGCAGGTTTGTTACCTTCGCCAGGAGGTTATGTTTTCCATGGCATTTGTGTGTGTGTATGTACATGTATGTGTGTGTGTGTGTGTGTGTGTGTGGTTTAGCATGATAACTCAATAAGCTTTCGATGGATTGTCATGAAACTTAGTAGGTGGCTAGGTGTTGATGAGACCTAGAAATGATGAGATTTCAGGCCCCCAGGTGGCTTGTTATGGTACTGCAGTAGAACAACCAGTTTTGATATCTCATGAACACCTTTTGACGGTGTTCAGCTTATAGGCTATTCACACATTGCCATTTGCTTATCCTTCAAGCAGGTTTGATCAATTCACAGATTGCATATAGGATCACAGTTTGCAGTTAAAAATCTTCCAAAGAAAAAGGAATTGGTAAGATTTACAAGTTTCAAGAAGGAATTTTTGCTCCCCCTCTTTTTCCATGGTCTTTACCATCTCCCCATGTATTAATTGTTCTTAATCCTCCATATGTCAAAAATAATTCCCAGCTGTTGCCCTTCCCCAAGAATTTTAAAATCAAGTATTTAAATCTGTATGCAAACATCTATCTATCTTTACAGTTAGACTTACATGTGACTCATGACTATTGCCCAAGAGATTATGAAGAGCCTTCGCCGTGTCCTTCACACATGCTGTTTCCAAGTTGGCAGGCTCTGAACATCCCTCTGTTTTTGTAACAAAACCCAAGCTGCAGAAAAATCTGGGGAATGTTGGGGGGACCAAGGGGTCTTCTGAGTTCCTGCAGGGGGTAAAACATGCGACCAGGTGTCCCCAACTCCCCCTTGTCATCAGGAGTTCCTAGAAATCGGCAAAACTTTGAAATAACTCCAGAAGCAAGTACATGTACAAGACAATAATTTATGAACTGATAGTGATAGTTCTGCTGAATTATGTGAATATTATGAAGTGATTTAACCTGCTATAGTTTGATGAACGTCTAACCTGGCCACTTTGTAATCCTGATAATTGAAGGCTGGTAAAATTAGATGTTAGTTAACTTGCAACATATTTAAAAAAAATACAGTCATCACCCACCAACAATTTCTAAGAGAATAATCTTTAAAAAAATGCAGCCATATGCTGACATCTTTCAAACATGTCAGCTGCAGTACTAGTAAGGCATCACATAGTGACAAGTAAAATCTGCAACACCAAAGATGCCAAGTTTTGGAAGACCCCTTGTAAGCCCTCAGTCACAGAGCCCAGTCTTCATAAAGCCTGCCATGCCATCTATTTGAAGTATGGGGACCGCGCTGCCATATTTTGGTTGCCTCCGATGAAAGAACTGATCGACCCATTGACAGAAGATTTCTTCCCGCGTTAGCGCTAAGTTTTCCCTAAATGTATCGCTCGGGGGGAATGATGTTTCGCTCTTGGCACCTCTTTAGGTATGTGTTACTATATGTTTGTCTTGCCTAAGCTATCCTACTCTTTTGTTTTCTATGAACTGTTATGTATACAGTTGTTAGGACATTTTGAAGTTCTTTAACTGTCTGCCATTTGTAAATAATTGTTTCTAGGCACTTTTACACATTGCCTGTGCAATATAATGTTGCACTCACAATCACATGCATGACTTTGCACCCTATTTGACTCTTGAGCCCACTGTATATTTGTAGATACTTGTAGCTAAACTTAGATCAGCTATGTTAGTAATATTTGAGTACCAGTTTGTTGAATCATCCTTTGTTCAGTGATATATATTTAGATACACCCTTTCATAGTGTCACCATAGGACAGTTGACTAGTACAGTTATTTTCTTTCCATTGTTGTAATGTTTTTTCAATATTCATTGTACAGATTTCGGTACCTAAAGTACATGTATATTGATATATGTCCATATTAGCCGGGTGCAAAAGATGCATGATGTACGAATATGTCATCAATCATTGGTTCCTTATAATACCCATAATTAATATGCATGTATGAATTACTAGATTAGTGTGAGAGGAATGTTGACTGTTATTTTGCTTATGGTAAATGTTTGGAGAAGACAGTGTGTAAGGTCAAGGTCTAGTGACATTAGGGGTGCGTCAGTATGGAGGGGTGACACTTGATGCCATTTTGATAGCATAGCAATGGCATGTCAAATGGCAAATATGATTACCACGTACAGACTGCATTAAATGTCACACATGCAGCCCAGGGGCCCAGTGATAGTTTTGATATAGTGACTGTTGTTATTGACAGGGTTGGCTGACATTGACAATATCAATCAGAGGTTTCTTACGTTTTTAGCTTGGCCAAGAACTTTATGTTTTTGGGAGCTTGTGTCTGTATAAGTATGTGTGTGTGTGAACACACTGACTTGATAATGCCTGCATGGATATTTGGTATGTGGATAGGTCTTGATGAGATCTGCAAATGATAAGGTTTTGGGCCCCCTGCCAGCTTTTTATGGTACTGCAGTAGAACTTCCGGTTTGTTATCTTGTGTTTATTACAGATTTGCAAAGAGCACAAGCTTCATTTTGTGTCTAGATGTGTTACTCCGCACTTACTACCCAAAAATACCTGGGTGGCATAGCTGACACAAAGCCATAATCAAATTATACCCGGTTTACCATGGTAGGATAAGCTAAGTAAACAACTAGCTCTACTCTAAGTCATCTTATTTTTGAAAGTCACCAATGAAAAGGAATGGTCTACCACAATTTTGATGCATTTGTTGGATGTTGAAAATTATCAATTTCCAATTTGGCGTAAGCATCCTAAAAATGTGATAGGCAATAGTCTAGAATACAGAAAGAAACTACATGCACAATTCATGTGCAGTAGAATTGCAATTTTGGGGTTGCTATTTCCGAACACCAATTTTAAAAGGTAAAAACATAAATATGTGAAATGTATCCCCCTTAATCTGTTTATCTTGATCATGGGTATTAGCTAGTATAAACAATTATAGGAAAATTCCTTGATGTCTGTCTGTCCCATTGGGAGAAGCAGAGGATGCTTCAGTGTTCTGATATCTGATCTGAATTCCCACATGGGGGTAAGAGATATGTACATGTATGGCTGATATGTATCTTTCACTTCTTTGGGATGTACCATTGTCTCTATGGGGCCCCCCCCTGAATTTGTAGTGTACAGATATGATAACATTCTCAGCTATGCAAGTCAGAGATAGGATGGAAGATTAATTGGAAATATGGCTGCGATTTGATAAACTACAAAATTATTAAGGAAACGTTTATTTAAAATTGAAGAAATTGAAGCAACAATGTGATAAATAATGTTACTTGTGTGTTCCACTGTTTGACCGTTCATGTGACTTGTGTGTTCCACTGTTTGACAGTTAATGTGACTTGTGTGTTCCACTGTTTGACAGTTAATGTGATTTATGACTGTGTTCCACTGTTTGACAGTTGATATGACTGTTTGACAGTTGATGTGACTTGTGTGTTGCACTGTTTGACAGTTAATGTGACTTGTGTGTTCCACTGTTTGACAGTTAATGTGATTTATGACTGTGTTCCACTGTTTGACAGTTGATATGACTGTTTGACAGTTGATGTGACTTGTGTGTTCCACTGTTTGACAGTTGATGTGACTTGTGTGTTGCACTGTTTGACAGTTGATGTGACTTGTGTGTTTGACAGTTGATGTGACTTGTGTGTTCCAGTGTGTCGGAGTACCTGATGGGGGATGTGGAGCAGACCACCACACCCACAGCCCCCCAGTCCAGCAAAACAAGGGTGAGTCCTTTTCTTCTCTACTTCCCATGACAAGTGGGATGACCTTCCTCGCGCTGGGGTCACTAAGGATAGGTGTAAACACAGGTGATGTTGTCATCACAGGATCACCCAACTTCCTCAAAACTTTAAGACAGGTGCACTTTGACTTAGGCATATGGTACGAATGTCTTCCCTTGTAATTGTCTGTTTCGGCCATGAAGAATCTGACAAGAAAAAGGCATTTCTTTCAACTCAGAAGTTTCCAGAATGGTGTTGCGGTGGTAAGTGTTTTACATTGTTCATGATTGTTGTACATGGATTGTTGTAAACATCCCCCACATTTTCTGATGCTTACCTTGCATATCTCGATTGTGTCTGTGCTTTCAGTGTTTCATGTATTTTTGTTTAGAAAAGGTAAGTTTTGTTACTAAGAAAACTAGGAGGAGGAGATAAATTGAAAATTTCTGTATCAACTGTTGTTTTTTGAATGGACGATATTTAAGATGAAGGCAGACTTGAACTTTGTTTATTACTTAGACTTGTTAAATGTTAACAAAGAGGTTAGCGCAAAGGAATGAGTATGACATCACATGCACTTGTTGTCGCACACAAGTACACACATCTTTGCAAGTCACCCAGCAAACATTATGAATGTCTAGCACCATTTCTGTTGAAGTGTTCGGCCTTCAATGTACATGTAGAGCTTCAATATGGTTAGTAACATGTTGCATAGTAAGGTAAGGCATTGATTTTATATTAAGCTTCTTTTGCTATTAGTTGCAGACATTGATGAAAGAAGTACTTGAAGAAAAAAAATGATAAAGTTAAAGTTTCTCTTCTTCCCCCCTTTCAAGAATATCTCTAGCTTAAATTGATGCCATAAAGATATTGTGCCTTCGAAAAAAATTAATATCAAGTGTTGCAACAGAAAAATATTGCAAGAGTCGTTGACTAAACATTATAGGAATTCTTCGGGAGAAAAAGATTTTCTAATCAGTTTTTGTTTGTTTTTTTCCCGACAGTCGCATGAAAACCTGTCATCAGCAGGTGCAGTTCAGGAGAACTCCCACGGCAGGCACCCCAGTCAGGAACACACACCTGAAACAGGTGGGAAAACAGCTGAAAACAGCTGATAATTTGATATGTTATTTAAATAGGCTTGCAAGGTTTTACAAAATGTTACCACAAGAACTTTGGGGGAATGGAAAAAGGTAAACATGAACGTAATCAGAAGAGAAGAATCCAGACGTGGTTGAAGGAAAGCATGCTGTGTACGTGTTGACATTACCCAAGGTATGTGCACCGGTGATATGTCAACACGGAAGGCATTTTTTAAACGTACAACTGACGCAGACACAGCTCTACTAAGAAACAAACATGGTCCAGAATCACAAGTGTTACAAGTAATCTATGCCTGCATTGTTTAGAAGTGAAATATCTTAGATAGAGACTTATGGCTCAAAGTTTCCAAAGGAAAGATGCTTGCATATTTATTTTGTCCCTATGCATACCTGACTTCAATCTGATTTGTGTTCAACAGCAAATGTGGACAATTTCATTCTTCATGCCATAAAATCCCACAGATTGTAAGATGTTAAAAGAAAAAGATTACGAGAGATCAGAATGTTCTATTGTCATTCTATTGTCTATTGTATAGGGGATAAAATGATAGGTACCAGGGTATTTCAGAGCCCCTACTTTTAAATATTACCAGTACAGGTAGCCCACACTATCACAAAATCTGGACGTTAAAAGATTTAGCTTAGAAGGTAGATTTATCGCCCTTGGCAGATGAAATCTTTTGCATATAGTGATCTTATGCACCATGTAGCATGTAATATATTGGATGGGTACAATATAGTATTGTGAGCCCATGACAGAACTGTCTGTTGACCTGGGAAGAATGTTAGCTGTACGTCAGTCCAGTGTCTGTGGCAGCTGTGTGGTCTATGTATAGGTTTTTAGCCCAGGGCACTGAAATACTTCGTCAAAGACCCTTTGTTTTTTTTTGTCTCATTTTGTCAGCATTGCAGAAAAGTCTAAATGCAGAGAGTTGATTTGATTTGTATGTAACATGTATAAAGATAAAACTTTACATCTACAAAAGTTTTTATAAAAGATAAAAGTTTTCAACAAGTTTTGTCAGGTTTTCCTGTGTCCTGGCAAAATGATTATGAAAGAGCACAGCAGTTAACCTGGGTGCCAGACTGTTTCCAGGGCCTACATACATGTACAGTAGGTCAGTCCCTCGACTCCAGGGCCAACATGGACTCCAAGGAAATTATACCACAGCCACCCTCAGTTATGCCCTGATTCACAGACTAACTCTGTGCCTAGCATGTTACAGTAAGTCACAATTTGCAGTTTTCGTAGTCACTTCTATTCTGAGACCTTATCATAACCATGATGTCCATGAACAAATAATTTGCCAACTTTTTGCTGCACCTACTACCACCGGCACGACAAACTTAAAGTTCCATGAACATGTCTATTTTTCTCAGAGTGAAAACATTTGCTTCAGAGCGAAAACTTTTGCTACCACGAACTTAAAGTGATTTACAGTATGGGTCTGGCATCCAGGTTACCTATGTATACCGGTAATAATTATCACATTCACCAGCAATCTTCTAGCCTTCTCATCTCGTAACCAGTTTGTTAACCCGTGATGTTTTGGCTGGTGTAGGTGCGTTACCAGCTGAGGAGATAGACAACACCCTCCTGAGGCTGGAGTCAGGGGTGGACCTCGCCCTTCAGCGCTGCAAAGCCTGGTCCAAATATGCCAAGGACATCATCACTTATGTGGAGAAAAAAGCCAGCCTAGGTGAGTGATGTACAAGATGGATAGAGTCAGCATAGTGCCAGTTCTGCACACCAATGCCAAACATTTGAGTTGATACTGATAGTACCACACTTTTTTTCTCCATAGTTGAGTTAAAATAGTGTCCCAGGCTGAATAGAAGTAGCCATTGTTCAAGAGGTTCGTCAGTCACGTATAGATCAACAGTTAGCGAAATATTCTTGAATAAGTGACTTTTTAGGAGGAAGCAAAACATTTACCTCCAAAATTTCAATGTCCACTGAATGTAGTCTTGTGAAAACAAGCTCTGCCCTAGTCTTGACCTTGTCTTGTGTTCTCATGAGACAAGGTCTCTCCGTGATCAAGACGTACAGTGGATGTCAAAAATTTGGAGGTACGAGTTTTGCTACCTTTCAAAAAGTTACTGATTGAAGAATATCCCACTAACTGCAGAACTAGCCATATCTTAACATCTGAAAGCTGTGGACAGATTTGTAGTTGCCCCGTATGTATCTTACCAGAGGTTTGACAGTTAGACTATCCCATTTGGGCCACACCAACAATCCTAAGTGACAGCCCGTGGTGAGTAGAGTACTTTCTTGGGACCAGGCCAGTGGTGGGTCAGCAGGAAAAACTATGACATGTTGCAGCTGGACTGGAGTTGGAAAGCCAGCATTTGGGAAATGTCTGACAAGTCTCCCATGCTGAATATTAAACCATTTAGAAGAAAATAAACTGATAGAGAAAACTGAGAAAAATTAGACTTTTGTTGACCATATCTCCATCGTTTTGCTATCAATTGTACTACATGTATATCATGTGATCTATGGAAAGTATGTTCGTTATAAATGTACTCTTAACAATGGTACCATGTTTGTTATACTTATTTAGTTGTAACAGGAGCACTTGGCTTGATAATGTGAGTGGATTAAAAACACAAAACGCAAAGAATATGACTGACTAAAGCTACTTTTTTGAAGTTAAATCTAAAGCTTGTAACTGCTTGATTTCACCCCTAGAAAAAGGTCGACTTTTCCATCTGTTTAAAAAAGAGAAGCACTTAGATCCCGTGTTGTGGTTCATCAACACTTGGTTGTCACCCTTATAAACCCCTTGGCTTTTACTTCAGGGATTCTCACTTCTGTAGGGTGACCAAAGGTCTCTTGGATCCCTCCCAAAGTCAACTACGTTAGATTTATTCCCAAAAAGACATCTGCTTGTAAGCCTTTGTTGATGGACTCTTTGAGGATTTGTGTCCTTTAGGAGTTACATCATTTTAGCTGTTGATCTGAAGCCAACACTACATCATGTACAGTGTATATAAGACCAGTTGGAAGAAGAACTGTTAGGAATTCCACAGGACATAGTTTGTCATTTCAGAAGTTCAGTCAAAGGGCAGCATCTCTTAAATAAGGAGATTGTTACTTGCTGTGGTTCATGTAATTCTGGTACGCATAGAGTTTTGAATGGCTTTTCTTGTTACTTCCTTTAGATTTTTATTCTTTACTGCAAAGATGTGTCCAAGTCATTAGTAGAGGATTGATCCTCACCCTAGGTTAAAATATATGTTTCCATTGAATAACTCACTTGAAGATGGCTTATATAATTTCTGTGTGTTCATGATACATAAAAATAATAGCTCATTAGTTGACTTTTTTTTTCAGAAATGGAATATGCAAAAAGCATAGCCAAGCTAGCACAGAACACAAGAGCAGTTATTACTGAAGATGTGAGTATAATTCTACATATACATGTACAATATATACATAGTCAGAGTTTTTTTCTTGTCGATGTTTCCTTCCAAATTTGTGGTTGAGAGCAAAAGTTTTCTTTAAAAATAATGGAATTTTCTTGTTTTGTCAACAGAGTTTTCTACCGTTCCAGTCAATATATTGTACAGCATTAGATCAGGTATTTGGTCAATTTAACTTCTACACTATCCAAGTTCGCAGCATTTTTGTTACATTTGTGCATTTTCCAAAGTAACTGGCATTTTGTTGTTTCAGGAAAGTAACTTTTTTTCTTATTGACTGTGTTACAGGACATAGAACATTATAACACATGCCAGGCCACATGTACCTTACTACAGGGTCACAAGTTTGTGGAGGTAAGTTGGAAGACAGTATTATCCTTAATTAAATCTGCTTAACGTACAACAAGGAATGATTTTGTCGCTTTGATGAGGACCACTTTGCCAGAAAGAAAGGAATGCATCCTCTGTACCTTTGTAAAACACGAGAGGTATATATTATGATATGTTTGTGTGTTTCCAGCCCCTTACCATGAGGAGAAACGACCACGAGAGAAGAAGAAAAGAGTTGAAGGACTTGTGGCAACACGAAAGAAAGAGATTGGTGAGTTTCCATACATACTTCTCCTTAAATGCTCTAAATGTGTATTTGTTTGTAGGTGTGTACACAAGTTTGTGTTGTACGGTTTTTGCATTCTTGCCATGTTCAGTAGTTATATGTCATGATTATAATGTACTTGGCAATTTTTTGTTTGTTTTGTGAAGTTTGTTATCATCATGATGGCATGCCTTCCCTGTTCCTATGGTAAATGCTTCTTGCCTGTATACATGTATTTTCTTGCCTGTTAAGTATTTTTTTTCTTCGCCGTGTTGTCCACAGCATGACTCCCTGTCTAACCTGAGAAAGGCTCGTCAGCAGTACGTGATGAGACAGCAGGAGTATGAGAAGGCCAAGGAGTCAGCAGCGAAGGCAGAGACAGAGACCATGAACAGTAGCATCAGCACCCCCAGTCTGGGCACCAAGAGCACAGGAGGAGGCACCAAACTGGACAAGAAGAGGAAGATAGAAGAAGACTGTCTACATAAGGTAGGGCTCTATAAATTTGCCTCTTTGATCCATTGAGGGAAAGTTTTATCATAGTAGAAGACAGACACATTTTATGAGGCCTGACTAAGAAAGGTAGTTGGAAGTATAAGTATGATTTTGATGGTGTTGCAGTTGCTTTTTCTACTTCCATTTGACAGTTACTGAGTACTTTACTTATTTGAACGGTACACATGTTATAAGGCAGGCCAGATCCAATTTGTGTATGTTTTGTGCAGTTTTTGAATGTATCCAAATTGCCCAAATTGTGAAAACTCTAGTAGACTATGATAGGTTGTTGGTAAGTCGTATGTTTTCAGATTTCTCTACTTGGGAAAGAGCAGCATTTTGTTCTGCTTCAGTCCTTTTCTTCTGTACCAGTCCATAAGTGTGTATGATACAATGAGCAGGACTATGAATATGTCTTGTGCAGGCAGAGGAGGCAGAGACTACATACAAGGCCTGCGTGGTGGAGGCCAACAACAGACAGCAGGCCTTGGAGCAGATGAAAGCACAGGTCCTGTCAGGACTGAGAGAACTCATCTACCAGTGCGACCAAACCATGAAAGCTGTAAGAACAGATCAAAACGATCAATCATATTTTCTTTTTTTCCCAATTGTAAGGTCCTCCTATTTCAGCCCTTGGCTGCAAGGAGAGAGTAGCCGGCCCACACAATTACAATGTTGATTTTTAATCAACAGTCCAAGTATTCATTTCTTTTAATATATGTTTTCACCTTTATTTCATTGTATGATTTGTATCCTCTTTCGTTACAGGTGACAGTAGGATACTTCCAGATGCAGCACACTATGGCTGCACCTAGCCCTGTACAGGTAAGGCAGCCTATGTTTTCCCTCCTATAGCCAAGAACTATGCCTGTACATTTTGTGCATCAAATTTACATTATAAGTCATAAGTTGTAGTACCAAGCAGAAGGCAGAACATTGTAGAAGAGAAGTTATCATTGGAATTTTATGAAATGTAGATGTTACTGTAAATCACTCTTTGTTCACGGTAGCAAAAGTTCACGGTCTGAGAAAAATGGAGCTGTTCGCAGAACTGTCATGTTCACGGTTCAGGAATTACAGTAGTTACTGAATGGACTATTTTCCCCACAGTTCCAGACCCTGTGTGAGAGCTCCAAGCTGTATGAACCAGGCACACAGTTTGGGGAGTTTGTCAAGGGCCTCCCTCCCTCCTCCTCCAACTTTAACAACAATGTAGTCTACGAGTTTGAGCCATACACTGGGTGAGTCGCTCAAACATTTGCAAGAATACTGTCTGCATAACCCCAAAAGAAGCTAAGGGAGAAATCTCTTTTTGTGTACCTCTCATAAATACATTGTGTAGATAGAACTAATTTATGATACAAAACAAGCAACTGTTTTATGTCATGGACATGGCATTTTTGCCTCACAGATATCAGTATGATACGGGATTGATTCAACTTCCTACATGTACGTAGAAAGAATGACCCAAAACTTGACTTTATAAATCAAGTTTTAACGACCTGAAAGTGCATTGGATGCCTCAAAGATAAAGCTAAGGTCCTGCCAAGGATGGTATGGATGTGTCAAGGCAGCATTCCTTCCTAATGTAAACACAGCATCCACAAGGTAGATAAATCACATGAACTAGCCTTTTTTGGCTCTCCTAGATTCCAGAAAGTCACAAAACATTCTATGACGTTGATAAAATTTCTGTAGAATATCCAGAAAGCAGGAATTTGTAGACCCTTTTTTACTAATGGTTTGTGTCAAGATCCTGTTATTTTTTAGTAGTTTCGGGGTTTTCAGCATAGTTCAAAGCTTTGTAACAAAGTATATATAGGTGCAAAAGATAGCTCTGTATACAAATGGCAAGTTTAAGCAAAGATAACATATTTCTGTGTGCTAAGTAGGGGAGCAGTAGGCTCAACTATTGAAGTGATTATAAGAAATTCCCTTGAAGAGTAGCTGAGAGTACAGTGACTAGTACAACACCAAAAACGTACCATTTGAAACATTTTATGTTTTGTATGCGCAGCTATCAGATGCAGCGGCCCAGAAGAGCGAGTAGTGTGTCTGCTGGCAGCGCTGAGTTCAGTTCCTCCATGGATGACAGTCCGATAGACAAACATGGTACATCCCACCCCATCAAGGCCTGGGCACACTCACCACAGGTATGGAGGATAAACTGAAAGTTGCTTATAGCACCGGAGGCATTTTCACTGCATTTTTTTTACGAATTTAATGAAAGAACATAAAATTTCCAACAGGTCTGGGAAGATTGCTGTAGTATAACCTCCCACATCATGTTTTATTAACTACATGTACGTCGATGAATATTAGACATCCATGTAATGAGATACACACAGAAATTTTTACTCAAGCAACACTCTCTCACACTCACTAGATTCTGGAATACTGGTAGTAGATGTTACTTAAAACATCTGACAGTTTTCAAAATCTATCCAGTTATTTGAGTAATGATTTCTTTGTGTAACTTGAACACTGTACATAGAGCCATTTTCCTACATGTATGCTCCACAGGCTATCCCCGGTAGTGACACAGACAGTGCCAGTGGCAGTAGTACCCGTTCCCTGGACCCCTCACCGTCTGCGAGCCCCGGGGACCCGCCCAGGAAACTTCCCCGCGCTCCGTCTACAGGACACCATGTCATCCGGAGATGAGCTGATAGATGAGCAGGAGAGCCCAGGGATCGACCCCAGTACGTTTTGGAACAACATTTTCATGTTTACCGAAGGAAAACATATTGTTTTTGCTCTGTTTCCTATTCTGCTCCAAAGAAATAAGGTCAATGACCTGAACCAGGGATTGACCCCAGTATGTTTTGAACTAACACATACATACAGAGTACAGTCAAACTTGGCTAAGATGACCACCCAAAAAGCATGGCAACAAGACAAGACAGAACAAGAAAACTGCAG